GAAGACTTGCCGCGAGTCGGGACCGTGCGCAATCAATAATTCTATGCTTCAACTCCGTAGGATGCTACTGAAATCTCGAAATTTTTTTCTTAGTTCAAAATCGAGAAAAATCGACAGGGGTTCCATGGACTAAATTTTTAGGGTCAAAATCGGAAGATCGCCGATCGGGCCGAAAGCAAGCAAGCTCGCTTGGAATTGATCCGCTCAGTCCGATTTTCCGGTCGGAAAAGCTACACAAGTATGCTGGAGCGCGCTATTCGCTAGAAACGCGAGTAATCGCTGTTCCAGGAAAACACTCGTTTTTGACGGTTTCTCGGCTCCACCTGAGTCCATGCAATTCCTGTCGATTCTTCTCAATTATGGACGGGGAAAAAATTTCGAGATTTCAGTCGCAACCTACGTAATTCGAGGCGTAGAAGCGATTGCGCATGGTCCCGACGCTCGGCTAGTTTTTCTGAGCCGAGAAAGCGTCGAGAACGAGTGTTTTCCTGGGAAAGCGATTACTCGCGTTTTTTGCCAATAGCGCGCTTCATGGAGCTTTTTTGACCAAGAAATCGAACTTAGTGGGTCAATACCAAGCGGACTGGCATGGTTTCGGCTCGATCGGAGAACTTTCGATTTTGACGCTAAAAATTTAGTCAATGTAAATTGTAAAACAAAGTCGTGGATATATTAGTGTCAACCAAAACTGAGTTATGGCAGTTTGAAGTTCGCAGCTTAAGAAGCATAGTTTGAAGGGAAAAATATTCTAAAAATTTTAATCTGCCGCCTCTACGGCATACAATAATGCCCGATCCTGGTGAAACTCTTCAATCTTCATCCCTTGTTGGCTCAAAAAATAACTGGATCTCTCACGGCTTACATTTGGCTGTATTTCTGCTGAACAGAACTAAGCTGCATAGAGGGAGAAAGGGGGATGCGGGTTAAATTTGCAGGTGGAGCTTAACGACGAGCTCATTCCGTCCGATGCTCACAATTATTTTCCAAGGCGCTCAGTGTCATTTGACAGAACGCGCTACCCGGGATTCTAAAATCCTCCAGAGGACGGGCGTTGATGACGGCGCAGAGAGACAACTATTCGTGCTGTATGGATGTCGTGTTGCATCTGCAAAATTGAAGGCGCGATGGCGCGAGGCGTCAATCCGCAATGCTTTACTTTATGCTGCCAGCTTTATGCAGCAACTTGATGAGGTGTTGCTTGGATTCGGGAGGAAAGATAAGGAACTAGTCCCGATTGAGTTCCGCCTATCTTCGGTTACGATTTTTCTTTTCTTTTTGCATTTCGACGTCTGATTTTTTATTTTTACGATGTAATTGTGGACCTCTACATAAACCTCGTAAGAACCGGTCCCACTTATGGTGGTCTCGAAGCCCCCCCCCCCCCCCCCCCCCAAANAATAAGGCGACAAAAATGTACCCAAAAACGGGTTGCAGGAGGTGAATCAATGGTACGTGTTACTAATAACATTGCAAAAAATCAAAATCTTGGCTGATCCTTTTCTGGCAATATCGCAATTTGAAATTTTTATAGTAAATGCAAGGTTTTCATTGATTTTGATCTGCTTTTCATTTTATTTCATAGTCCATTGAATCGGTGTTGATCGGTTCACGTCTATTTTTCACGTCGGTTTTTATTCATCGTTCAATTCATGTCGATCGAATACATACCCTCTTGTTGCATGCTCGTTTCATGGCATGGATATCATACTATTTTTTTTAACTGAACAATGCGCCTTCTGCTGCGTCCGCAGCATTTGTTGTTATAATCCGTGTTTGGCGCATTGTTTGTACGTCATGATTGGTGGGACAAGCTTTCGTCAATCTTGGCACAAGATTGGAAAAAGGAGCTCCTCCTGTCCTTGAAAATCCGAGGTTGGCCCATGGTTGAAATACCAAGATTAAAAAACCAACCTCGCTCTAATGTCGATGCAAGGTTGTACAGCCAGGCTTGTAATTCCATGCTCATTCCAATTTCGTCAAAGCTTGATCCAAGCTTGAGCCAATGTCTCCAAGGTCATTTTGCCGATAGGGTAGTGACTAATTGAGGACACCGCTCCAAGAACAGTCTATAGGCGTTTAGGTCGTTATTACGCCCAACTGCTTTTCGGATTCTACGTACCCTGGACTATGCTGTGGTAGCGATAGAATATAGATAGGTAACGGCTCGAGGTCGAAAAACCTTCTTTTTCTGAGTTAAGTCAGGCCTCTGGATCGATGGGTGAAAAAACGACCTATAAACGGGCCTATAAACTTAAGGGCCTATAAGGTGCTAGTTACCCCTTTCTTTACTCACTATCGATATTCTTTCATTTTTCATGAAATGTATTTGGAGAAGGGAGTAGATTATTTGTAAAGAGAAAGAAAGAAGACTGAAATGACAAAAATTCATTTGTATTTAATTTATTCAGAATAAACTTTAAATTGAAAAACTCTTACTGTATACGGTAAAACTTGCTGAAGAATGTTCGACAATTGAATTACCACGTACTAAACAAAGGCACAAAAGGAGCTGACTAATGATAAGTACACAGTATTACAAATATTGATAGAAAATGAAATTTTGTACTTCATGATTATTTCACAGAAAAATAATTACTAGTAATGCAGCCAGAAGTTAAGATTATTTTGGCAAAAAAGAAACAAATTTAGGTGATGTCTTGGAAGATTCTCTAATATAGTTAACAGTTTGTGAAACAACCGTCTGTTGTTGTGTGTTGTTTACACATGCAAATTCGGCAAATTCGGCAAATTCTTTAAAAAGTCTGCATATATCACAGTAATTGTGAATTTTTGAGCAGGTTCAGAAAATAATAAATGATCAAAGGCTTGCGGCGTACGATGAAAAAATGCCACCACTTTCATAAGTAAAAAATCATACCATTTCCAGCTCTATAAATTCTTACCTGGAATTGTCAAAGAACAGCAGACCACTAGTTAAAAATGGGTACGATTGTATATTAAATACAAATCCTGGTAATGCGAACATGTTTTTAAATAGTTAAATAGTTTATTGAAATATATACATTACATTACTATTGCATAAACAGCAGAAAGAGTTAAAGTAGCACCTACTTACAAGGAAATAATGATGAAAGCAGGAAAGCACAGAGAGCGAGGAACACAATTCAAAATAGGATATTATTTGCTAAAACAGAGTACACTACACTTAAAAAAAATGGCAAAAAAACATATCAGCAGTGAGCCCGAGTATCAACGTCTATACCAACAGTAAATATATGATGGCCTCAAACAATAAAACCTAAAATGCCAATAGTTATCATAGCATAGATAAACCTACAAAATAAAGTAAATAAAACTACATAAATGTGTATTTTGGATGCGGCTGCGATTTCAAAATCTTCCCTCCTAATTTACTTTTCAAAAGGAGACCAAACCAAATCATGAGCATGACTTGACATTTTCAGAGAAAGTTCTTAACACAGAGAAAGAAATCACCAATGTTTTCAAGAAATGATGTTTCGTGGTCTTTTGTCAAAAGTAAGGTATGACAGGAAGTTTGCAATGCCGCAAGCCAAGATGTATATTTCTACAGTTACACCATCTATACAACAAAGTAGGCTATTAGCAAGGACTTTTCAAACAAGTGACAACATGAAATTTTACATAAAAAAAATAATATCCACAAGTTGGAAAACAATCATCTTGCGTTTTTTTGGAAAGGACAAAGAATTGGATTTCAGAAACTTCTTCGATTCTCTCAAATTTATTTTCTATTTTTCCTGGGAAGTGTCTACTTAAAATTTGTTTTGAAATTCAGGCAATCTTAAGTAAAAAGTATCATTTCAGTTTGAGAAAAGATTTGCAATAGTCTCATGAAATATTTGTGATAACTTAACAAGGATACAAGATGCTAACAATTTAAATGTAAAATTGAAAACATTTTCTATTGAAAAATTTATGAGAAAAGAGTTTCATAATTTGTAAATTTTAACAGGTTTTAACTGTAATTTTTTCTTTTCCTTGAAAGTCACAATCGTTTTACAATTCTTTTACAAAGCACTTCTATCTCTACTTAGGGTGAAGATACTTATTACTGCATGGAAAATGCAAAAATATGAAGGAAAAATTGCACTTGTGGTCCACCACTCAAAAAAAATGAAAATTTAAGCAAGTGCTTTGTTTGTTAAATGTCTTGACAAGCACTTTTTACAGGTCAAACATCGGTTACGAGTTTGAGTAGTGAACTATTTTTACTACTTGCAAAATATGTCATGAATTCAAATTTCAAATCTTAAATTTTAAGAGTACTTTACTCCTCAACTTTGTAACCCGATTTTGCTGTAAAGGTCAAAGAGTAATTGTTGAATTTTCATCTTAAGTTTTGAAAATTTGAACAAAAATACAATTTATATTTTATAGGTTTAAATTTCCCATACATAAACGATCACTGCTGATGTGGGAGGAATAAAAAATCATAAGTGAATATAAAAACAATGGCGGATTCAGTTTTTCATCAAATTAGCTGAGCTCATGAAAAGTATCAGGGCATTAGAAGAATAATGTATTATATATTGGTAGAAGTGAAGTTCATGGACACTCTTGAGCTTCCAATTCAATACAAAATTGTATGAGCACTTAGAAACATTGCTAGCTAAAATAGGAAATAGGTCAACTTTTAAATAAAATAGTTCTGAGTTTTCCACATCACATTCACATACCTAAGAAATTTAATCACTGACAATGAGATCCTACATATTACTACAGTAAGACCTCGATTTATCAGATTTCACAAGACCGGAGGCCGAATCCGTTAAATCGCGGAATCCGCTAAATCGCAATAGTCGGTCCTGCTGAAGGGACCGGAGGATCAATCCGTTAAATCGTGGAATCCGTTAAAGCGCGATCCGATAATTCGAGGTCTTACTGTATCTCCCTTTCCCCCCCCCCCCCCCNAAAAAAAATATACTTTAAAATTCACCGAGGGTGCATACCTAGGGAGAAAATGGATGATACGATGCAGAAATTCATTTTGACATTACTTAGTGAAAGAAATTGATTTACGACAATAAAGGATAAAAGATTATACATACCTTTATATGGAAAACAAAAGATGTGGCAAAGACAGCCTTAAATTACGAACATTTAGAGCAACAGAGCTCAAATAAATGAAGGGGAAAATCACAGGTTATACCTGAGATGATAAGGCAGTCTGATGCATTAGGACTCGTTGATGCAGCTAAACTCAGTCGATGACGGCAAAAGTAACCTGTAAAATTTAAAAAACAGTTAGAAATTCAGATTAAATCACATGTGCAGTAATGTGCACGACAAATTAGGTTTTATTTAGATACTACAACTAAACAAATAAATCACCCAGAAACAAGAGCGGAACTTAAGATGGCCTACATCATAGGACACAATTCCTTGAGAAGAACAAAGATTCTTATTTTTATTTTATTGATTAATTTATTCTTTTATATTGAAATCTTGATTTACTAATTTTTACATTTAAGTTTGCTAAAAGTGAATACCTACTTTTGTTACTTAATTTTATTTGACAAATTCTTCTGTGTACTTAATGGTGAATTTATTGGGTTCCACATAGAGGTATAAAACTGCAATGCCGGCCTGTATCAAATCATATCTATGTAATTGAATACTTGTACAGCAAGAGACACAAAAATTCCACCAGAAAAGTTCCAGGTGAGATAAGTATTTTCGACTTTGTTGGGGTGCTCACTGCCATTTTAAACAACCCATTATTAACAACTATTATCTTCCTGGTAATTGAAAATCGTGGCATCCCTGGGAAAAAATTGAGATGAAGACAAAAAATAGGTGAAAGAAAAAAGGCACTGATGACCCCTTACACACACTTGGATTTAGGTACAGTCATCATGGGACCAAAAATATCCATGCTTAGCTTCGCGTAAAAAGTAGTTTTCTGTTTCACTTTGCACTCCCTAAATCTTTGGGGTTAAAAATCTAAGGAAACTTGCAAACCTAGAAAATACAGGTTTTTCTAAAGGCAGAAACAGCGGGACAGTAAAAGCAACCTGAGGGGCAAGTAACAAAGAGGTTTCTTTCATTAAACAAGAGAAAGAGTTTTGATGGTTCAGTTTGTTGTTGAGCGGTAAATATCAACTCTACTTGATAGAAAACTGAAGTTACTTCCAGCAGACAGTCTGCCATGTCCACCTTCCTTTCTTCCCATTTCTGGTCTTACGTTCGGAACCACAGGACCAAAACCTGTCCCTTAAGCACATAGTGTCCTCTACTCAATGGCTGGAGATTGATACCTTCAGGGTGGTGAGAAGTTTGTTAGGGGGTTTTTGCTGGTGGTTCATGAAATAGACTGGAAAAATTACTTCCTTACATGTTTTAGTTGCTCTATAAGTAACAAGGTGGAGAAATGGTGCTAAGTCCACACCATTTGGCGGGGAAATCAAAGCCAAGAAATTCCAAAAATTATTATTAGAGTAAAAAATAAATTTTTTAACTCTAATGAGTACCAGTAAAAAGTTTTACGAAAATTAAGTGTCATGGAGAATTGTCGGGGGATTTTATGTAACAAAGGGTTTGAAACAGGGATGTTGTTTGTCGCCAACATTATTTAAAATATATCTTGAGTATGTGTTGAAAGAATAGAAGAAAAAATGTGGAGGGATGGGTGTCCCCTTGAGTGAGGTTGAAACTCTGTTCACTCTGTGCTTTGCTGATGACCAAGTGGTGATAGCACAAGATCAAGATGACGCCGATTACATGATGCGCAAGTTGGTAGAGGAGTATCGGAAGTGGGGTTTGTAAGTCAGTATTTCTGGAGGAGGTCTGCAGGAATTTCTAGGAGAGATGGGGTATGCAATGAAAGGGTGCTTCAGATCATGGGAGTCAAAAGTGACATCATGACCAGACAGCTTGTCTGGTATGGTCATGTCAATAGAATGACGGACGAAAGGCTGCCAAAGAAGTTGCTTGATGGGGTTCCTCCTGGGAAGAGACGAAGGGGACGCCCAGTGAAAGGGTGGCGACAGGGGGTTTTAGAAGAAATGATGGTTTGTCAACTCCCTGAAGGGCTTTGGGAGGATAGGGGACTTTCGCGGCTAGGGGTCGCAGAGCGCCAAAGAGCGCTATAAAAGCAGCTTTATACATACATACATGAGTACCAGTACAAAACTGAGGAGGGAGGGGAGAGTGCTCAGTTCAGGCAGTTTGCATTGGAATATTAAATTGGAGTCACGGCGAGAGATCTATACCGGTTTGGGTCTTTTTAGACCTCATCAGCAGACCATACTTGTCAGTGAATCCAACTTAACATGCTGCAAAATCCAAGACGGCATTAAAATGCTGTCATGGATATGACCTGAGGCATGACACCAAAGTGTGATCCTCACGCCATCTACCGTCGCTGCTGAACAACTCTCAGAACAAAACAAGGAAAACCCGAACAAATTATTATCAGGCTGGTTGGAGATGCGAACGCATCTAAACTTAACCGCCTGCTCCCAAATGGGAAAACTCATATCCCCAAACTGTGCGTACAAGTAAGAAAAAAACACTAAAAAGTGGAATGCTGCGAAATCCCTGAATCCTGCGAAATGGTGTGGACCCAGCACCATTTCTCCACCTTATTACATAAAGTATTCGGGCCACTTTTTGGTGTTTTTTTCTCAGTTGCTCTATAAGTTCACCAGGTTTTATGAACTATGTTGGAAGAATGCTTTTAGGAAAGGGTTTATCCAGTGCTGTTTTAATCATGACTTAATGGAAAACCACTGAGGAGAATATATGTATGTATAAACATTACAAGATGAATAAAACCTACCTCTAAAATAATTTTGTCATCTTTGATAAAACCGTTGTCAGGATTTAACAAGGTATTCTTCTTTATGAATTCTCTATAGCCCCATGATGAGGACTTAGGATCAAAAAGTCTAGGTAATGAGCCTGAAACAAAAAATTTCACAATTCAATAGATACAATAGAGAATTTGCAGGTGTCTGAAATGTGACAAATTTCGTGTTTAAGTGGAAACTACTGAGGGAACGAAACACGAGGATACCCTTGGTTCATGAATTGAACAATTATTGGAGAAGATATGACAGAATGATCTAATCTGCGAAAATACAAATGTTTAAAAGGGAAATTCCGCCAGATGACGTCACTGGGCGGTGCATTTACTCACTTTTAAATCTATTTTTATACTATTTCCCATATCAGAAAAAAATTATAAAAAATACTGTGAAATCAGCTCTTCAAGCACTTTCAGTTGAAGCGATAACAATTTTGCATGTAAATTCTACATTGCAAAAAAATTGAGGTGAATACAGAAATAAAACCAGTTAAAATATTTTTTAGCTAATTGTTGACTGATAACAGTAATATTTCCAGGAAAAAAAAAACTGGCAAAAGTCAATCCCACGAGGATTGATATAATATGCCTAGAAATAAGGTTTCCTAAAAATTGGGTATTTTAGATTGAGGATAGAAACTTTAATTTGGAATCAACCTGAAGGTATCCAAATTTCATCACCCAGAACTTCTCTTCCTGGCTATCTTGGCAAGGAAAAGGAGAGCTGTGTAAGGATCTCAGTGACATGATTTTGATTTGTCATTGATGTAAAAGTAGAAGGTAGCACCACATATAATAGCGCATCAGATGAGAGCAAAATAGTGATAGGTCATCTGTTGAAAACCAAAAGCACTTGGTCGTATAAGAGGCAATGCCATGACCATAGCAGGGTCATTATCCATTGAAAGCGTCCTTTTTAATAATACCGATAGACAATTTTAGGATGCTTGTTTGAGATGCTTACTAGTTTCTGATGAGTGCTTTATTCCCTCTCTCTGTGACAAGACTTTATGTGTCGATGTTGCAGTGCATTTCCATAATTGATTACTTGGCCCACCATCGCACTGAAAATAAAATGAAAAACAAGTATTTATCAGTAAAGATGTTTGGAATGACAGAAATAATTAACATTTATAATGATTTTAAGTCCATTAAATAAATCTTGATTCCCTTAATTCAAGTAAAAGAGTAAACAAGATCCACAGCAACGGGAGCATTCATAAATTATGTAACGCACTTTTTCAGCATTTTTGACCTCCCTCCCCCTTGTAACGCTTTTCTGACGTAGGTCCTTATTTATAAACACGTAAAAACAAAATGACATAACACTCTACTCGGTTTTCACTCCCCCTCTTGAGCGTTGCGTAATTTATGGCCATTCCCTATATAGGACAGAACATATGAAAGGTCAGTTCAAGATATTGAGACTGTCTATCAGCACAACGTAGTGGAGGATCTCATCCCTAGATCACTTAGGAATCACCTTAAAATTTCTATTAACATTTGAAGAGAATCGTTCCTAGCTGGCAAAAGCACTATTACCAACTTGAACGACGACTTTCTTGAATTGAATGTTTCAGAATCACCCTATCTAACCCCCACTTTGGGACACATTTTGCTTGTCTTTCTCATATTCAATAATGATGGCTGTGGATAGAAGAAGTATTTCTTAATTTGGATCAATAATGAAATATATTTTCTAAATTCACAGCCATTCTATGTTGAGTCATATTGATAACTAGAGAGAGTTGAGTTTCCTTTAGAACAAGGAACAAATTACCATGAGAAAACAGGAAAGTTGAGAGTCCTCAGTATCTGTGGTTTGGTTCCACTTGACTTTGAGTCTCCAAAATAAATTGCGAAAATAAAAGGGAGGAGAGAGCCTTACTCCACCATGTTTACTGAATTTTTCAAGTGTCATCCTGATTGTTGCTTCATCTGTAAATAAAATTAATTCAAAATTCACTTAATGCATTCTATCTGTTTTTTTTTTTTTTTTTTTTTTTTTTTTTTTTTTTTTTTTTTTTTTTTTTTTTTTTGTAAATAATCTTCACTCATTGCTCACTTGGCATTCGTTAAACTTACACAATGTTGTAAATTACAAAGCCATTTTTAGTAGAGGAAATTTTCCTAGTGAGAATCAGAAGCATGGAGCAAAAATTGAACTTTCAGAAAATAATGAAATTAAATCCTGGGAAGAGTACGGGAATACTTGCGGCTATAAGAATATTTGCAGATCCTTGCTCTCCTCTCAAAATATGTTGGAAACGATCTCATAACTTCTCCACCGTGGAATATAGATAAACAGGGCTGAAAAGTAGATTTTTTGGCCTTCTTGTATGCAATTTCTAATGAAGATATGGGATTGTGACTGTGTTTGCATGAACACTGAGGTGCAAGCTACTATCATTCGGAGGAATTTGATTCTTTTTGTCGAGAGCTGCAAGGAAAAAAAAGCTTTCCTGAATCACTAAAAGGATGCTGCAACAATTCTACTAGGTAAATATTGCATATAAAAATGCCAAAAAATTTACTTATCAGCCTCACTATTCTTTTTCTCAAGATTGGCTCATAAAAGTTTGATTGTAAAATATCATAGTGCTCTGAGGACCACAAGAAACTTCATATCTATTTGTAATACCTGATATCAAAGTTTAGCCGATGCCAAAATTCTTGATGGGGTGGTATTCCATTGGTGCATATAATCCTCTCATGGTAACCTTTTAAAGGGAAGAAATTTAGCCTTAAAATATCCCGAAATATAATCTCTAATCCTAACATTTAAAAAACTCTTAAATTTCAGAAAGACAACTCAAGTGTTTAAAAAAACTCGGAAAATATCATCTGAAGTTTTTCAAAACTAAAATGTTTGAAAAAATGTTGGAAAACTACTGTGATATTTTAGGAGTTTTTTTTGGCACTTTTTTCCTTAAATTTTACTTCTTGTAAATTTAACTTGAAAGTAGCCAAAAAGGGTTTCCAAATACGAATATTTTAACAATTTTTTGAAGAGTTTTCGAAAAATGTTTTCAAAGGTCATTGCTTCTAGGACGTTGGTATTTTCCCAGAGGAAATTTGGCATCATTGGTTTTTTTAACTTGGATTTTGAGAACCAAGAAAGACTGAAGGATACATTTTTCGGTAATTTTGTTTTAGGATTATGCATGCAAAAGGCCCTTTGATTGTCAAAAAAAAAAATAGGATGAAAGTAAAGATCGTGCAGATTTCTGCCAAGTTTTCATTAGAAAATAATGCCAAGTAACAATAATTGTTTAATAATAATTATTTTAAGACAAACAACTTTGGACACTATTCCTTTAATTTCTCATTTGGATGCCAACTTTCATCATCTATCAAGGCCCAACTGGGCATGCAACAATAAAACAAAGAAGTCATTAATGCGGGCGATGACTGAATGGTAGGTAATTGCTGGTTGTCAGAGGTTATAGGTACACTAGTGCCATGACACAACTAGTACTTATTATTGGACGTATTCCTATCAAACAGAACTATGTGCAATGTGACGTGAGCCCAGTAATGCTTATATTCTTATGCGTAACAGGGCTCATGTCTTAATGCACATAGTTCCGTTTGATAGAAATACGTCCTAATATGGTCCCTTCTTTCATGTAAGCAACAATTCATTAAAGCTGAACTACTACAGAACTAGACTTACTATCGTTGATTCTTCGAGCAAAGTTTGCATCATTCCCCTTCAAATTGAGTTCCTTCGGAACAAATGGTATGCTTCCAGAGATATCATCACTTGGTAGACAGCCTCTAGTTTCTTCGACTTGAGAGACTGGTTTATGGTCCTTTGCAGTTGACTCATTGGAAGGAGTGGCAGAATCTTTGTCCGCAGCTACTCCATTAAGTGAATCACCGTTTACATCACTTGTGACTGTCTCATTAACATGATCTCTGCTTTCCAGGCCATCATCACTTACTTTGCCTCTTTGTTTAAGGACAAGTAATTTTAACAGTTGATCTTCAGATAAGTCTATCACACGACACATTTGAATTGCTGATTCGAGAGAAATATCAGGGGTACTATCAAATAATTCCTTCAGTTGAGGATTGAAAATCCCAGTCGTGATTTTGTCACGTAGTAGCTCCTCTGCAAGATTGCCAAAATTACATCTTTGGATCAATGTTCTTGCATTACTCAAGAAATGTTCAAAATTTTCATTTTCATCCTGTTCACAGCAAAAAAATTGAGACCTGCATTTGGCTATATTCCTGTGAGACTCCGCCCAAACGTCCAATTTTGCTATCAGGTCATCATACTCAAAGGATTTGTTTAAAGCCAGATCTGCGATAACTTGCCTACCTTCATCTCCGATTAAATTTCGTAGCTTAGCTGTTTTGACCTTGTCTGATTTCTCATCAAACTCAATGGAAATTAAGTAGTCATCAAGCTCTCCTTTAAATTTTAGCCAATTTTGGTAAATATTACCACTGAGGCAAAGTGGGTTTGGTAGTTTAGATGTTGCAGCCACGTCCATTCTGATCTTTCTGATATGCTGAAGTAATTGAATGCAACAGGTGGGCACCTAAGTATGCTTTCAGTTGAAAGTAAGTTTACGAAGTATGTGATGAATTAGTGCGGCCAAAGTTTGACAAGCAATTGTTAACATACACAAAACGTCAAAAATTAACGAAGATAGAAGTCGACTGAAACAGGACTCAGATGATAATCACATAATAAATCACACACAAACTGATAACAAATTACTGAGAGATAACAAGACACGTGATTGGGCCTGTTGCAAACTTTTGCTAGAGCAAAAATAAGAGTTGATTCTTATAGATAATGCCTCAAAAATCACGATGAGCGCATCGGCAAAGTCTGAAATGCACTCATAACTTCACGATCTGCGTAAGAAATTTGCGTTTTTTTAAGCTTCCCGCTTCAAAAACGATACTACGGCACAGGTGAACATTTTGTTAGAGGAGTCGCTCCATCGTCGGCGATATTCATCATGGCCGACACTTCGGGCGTGGAAAACATGAACGTTAAAACACGCCGATTGTTATCTGGTCTAATCCAGTTCAGGTATTATCTCGTCCCATCACACGTGTTTCGGCGGATTGGCGTCGGCCATGATGAGTATTGCCGACGATGGAACGACTCCTCTTACAAAATGTTCACCTGTGCCGTAGTATCGCTTTTGAAGCGGGAAGCTCAAAAAACCGCGAATTTCTTACGCAGACTGTGAAGTTATGAGTGCATTTCAGACTTTGCCGATGCGCTCATCGTGATTTTTGAGGCATTATCTATAAGAAACAACTCTTATTTTTGCTCTAGCAAAAGTTTGCAACAGGCCCGCAGCCGCACACATGCTTTCTCACTTGTTTACATTCGAGGTTAGAAGTATTCACTTGCTGGCCAGAGACAAGAGACCCTCCACTGGCCTCCACAGGTGGAAGCTTTTACTTTCGGGGTTTCAACAATTCCTTATGGACAATTATTAGGGAGCAACAGTCATCACCCTAGTTTCGGCTGTTGACTTACCTACATGGTCGATGATGAGCTTCGGATGACGTCATGAGCCAAACAACTTTCCCAAACGTCGGCCATTTTCGGCTTGTTTGCAAAACGAAACTGC